TGCGATCATTTATTGAGGTCAAACTGAATTGAAGACTGCAAATGAAAAAGAAGCCAAGTGTCGAAAACAAAAAAAGAGCTAGAAATTGATACAAGAGAATATACATCATGTGTAAAAATATCGTTTTAAAAATTATTATTGCGACACTTGGCCGTGTTTCTACTCGACATTCTTCAAATCGGTTATCTTAGAAAGGACGTTATCCAAAAGTTCTTGATTTTCTGGAAACTCGAAGAACATTTGTTAACATTAATACAATTGCTTGTTTATTAATCACTCGATTCGGTTATTTTAAAAAGGACGTTATCCGCGAGTTCTTGATTTTCTGGAAACTCGAAGAGCATTTGTTAACATTAATACAATTGCTTTTCTATTAATCACTACAATCATTATTCGTCTTCGTAAAAAAATATCGCATACGAAGAAACTTCATTTTTCGAATAAAATGTCTCTCCTAAATTGAGTGATACACAATTAACAGTTATTTCCGTTCGCGTTCTTAAAGAAGTCGCAGATCGCAAACATTCTAATTCGTATCGTCCCTGGACGAGAGCACGATATTCGTCACGGGCTGCGGTTGGCTGGAAACAGAGCTCCAGCGATTCTGCTCTTTGTCAGCCTTGAAGATCCAGTGCTCAAACTTTTTGTTCTCCGATTGCTTAACTTCTGATCCTGGATGCGTGTCCAAGATCTGGGCTCTCTTGCCCGACTTGTACTCGGACACGTAGACAACCTGCTTGTCCGTTCGGTCCTCCTTCGGGCTCTTCGTGATGTCCGATCGTCTCGGCGGCACCGGCGGTTTTTTGCCGGACGTAGTTTTGCCGTTCGACGTCACCTTGATCTCGTGCCGCCCCAGCTTCCGCGACTCGCCATTAGTCCCGGTCGTTACTTCTTCGTTTTCGCTGTCAGTTTCGCGAACACCTTCCTTATTGGGCGACACCTTGATCTCTGTAATGTAGGTCATCTTTTGGATAGCGTTCGGCGGTACAGGCGTGTTAGGCAAGGGTGGACGACTCTCCGTGTCCTGCGGATTGTTGTAGTCCATCGATTCTCGGACCAGACCGCTGTCCTCGCTATTCTCGCCGCTCGACACGCTAACGCTGCTGATATTATGACGGTCCTCCTTAGGCGAGGATGGACTCTTGCTGTTCGCCGTTACGCTCAAGCCGAACTCGTACTCGTCCTCTTCCTCCTCGTCGTCCTCGTCGCGGCTGGAGACGTTAATGATGCGTCTGGCGAGGTGCGTGTCGGCGAACGTAGAGTCGGTCGGCGATTTCGTCTTGATCGGCGAGTACCTGTTGCGCTGCTGGCTGTCCCCACTTCGCTGTTCGAACTTCGTCCGATGCGCGTGGAACGTGGAGAAGGTACCGCCGTTCGTACCTTCCGCGTTCTCTTCCCTGTCCTGGGATTTGTCGTGCCTGGCCGACGATTCCGATTTAGACGCGTGTACTCGCAGATGCGTTGTCCGTTCTGTTTCTCTTTCCGTGCTCTCTCTCGTACCCATTCTGTTATCCTCCGAATACGATCGCACGGTCACACGATGCTGGTTATCGACGTGCTTCTCACGTTTGCAGTCGGCGCTATGTTGGCCGCATCTGTCCTCACAACCGCGACAGCCTCTATCAACGGTCACTTTTAAGACAGGTTCTTCTACAACCGCCTGTCTGCCGGCGTAAAGCGATGCATCGTTAACGGGCGCTTTTTCTTCTTTCCACTCGTCCAACCGTGTCAGATTGACCTTTGTCGTCGGCTCCGGAGACGTCGGTGAGCCGCTCGCGTGGAGCTCGAAGTAACGCAAGGCGCGACTGAAGTCCTCCGACTTTTCCGATACGGAACTATTATCCGGCTCGTTTCCGATCTCCTCCTCGCGCTTAATCTCCTTGGAGGATCGTTTCTCGTCAGCTAATTGGAAGTCTAATTCCACCTCCTTCGGAGTTGGACTCTTCACCACCTGGCCGTCGTTCACGATTCTGGCCAGAGAATTGTCCTCGTCCGGATTGAACATCCGTTCAGTGCGAATAAACTCCTCGGTCAGTCGCTTGCTCAACGGCAGATTGTACAACTCGATGCTGGTGACCTCCTGATCTGAATCATCGGGTTTCTTCTGCTCGGACACGTCGTCCGCCGTCGCCGTTGTAGTGACATCTTCCTTTAGCTTGATCTCCACAGCGGACTTGGAGCGCTCCAAAGTGCCGTTGCTCTTCTTCCTCGCGCGCGTCTTTTCTTCCGCTTCAGTGGCAGCTTCACTCCAGATCACGTCCTCCAAAGTGCCCCATTCGTTCGACTTCTTCAGCTTCCGTCGATCAAACGTGTCGATCTGATCGAGTTTCGTAAGATCTTCCGTGGACTCGTTGATGTCTTCAGGTGGTAGTGGCGCCTTACGTTTCTTAGACCCAGTGTCGGTGCTCATGTCAAGGCTCTGCGCCCTTTCCAGAGTCGTCGCGGTCTTATTCTCGTACTTGGACAAGTCGCCTAGACTGGCTGCTTTCCTGTAGATATCATCCTCATCCTCGTCATCGTCCGCCTCCGGCACGGGCGTGCGGTGAATGGTGATATCTGCCGAGTTCAATTCGATTGTAAAGCTGTTCTGCATCTCGTTGTCGGTATCCGACTCGGAGCTCCGTCTATTGATTGGCTGATTCTCCAGACGGTGCCTTCGGGCGTCCGCGGCGGCGTCCGTATTCTCACGCGCCTTATTTACATAATCACACAACGATTCCGTGTAATCGGCGATGCTGTCGATGGTGTCTATGGCGTCTTTCCTTACGGATTGCATCGCGTTTTCGCTAGTACTCATCGGCGGCGCCGGTGCTTTCCGCTTGTTCTTCTGAGGACTCTTGGCGCCGTCGGAATCGGACGAGCTGCTCTTCTGCATGTTCAAGGGCTCAGAACTGCTCTTTCGATTTCTGCGAGCCGCCATAGCCGCGTTGTGCACCTCCGTCGGCACCTCCGATGGTATGTTGAGCTCACCGTCGACACTCCTGCCGCCTTTGTCTGGCACGTCGACGCTGTCGACGATGATCCTCGTCGGAACGACGCTGTGGTCCGCGCGTTGCTGAAGACGCTCGTTGCAGAGTTTCTTGTCGTCGGCATCGCTCAGAACCGCGGATTGCCTGTTCGTCAGCAGTTTTTCCGCGTCTATCTTGCGCGAGTGCCTTCTCTCCAGATTCGTATTATGCTCATTCTGATTCTCGATGCGGTGCACGGTGCCGTCTAGCGCCGGCAGCACCTTGATGCCGAATTTGTGATGATGATTGTTCTTCGTCTCGTCATGACGCCTCTCCAAGCTCTGCCCGCTGCCCGGAGTCGATTTCGAGGACTTCAGGGTCGAGTTCATCGAGTAATTCGAGCCCACGGACTCGTTCGGATCGGCTATGAAGAGACGTTTCGCGACGCTCTTGTGACCCCGCGACAATTCCGGAATTGACTGGCTTCTGTAAAGAGGATGGCAAATCCTCGTCGGACTCGGACCCACGCTCTTCTTCAGCAACGTCGCTGGCTTAGACCCGCTACCACCGCTCTCCACTTCTAGCTCTACATCATACGGCGAGGCGTAGCTCAGGATCGTCAACGCGTCCTCGTACACCATATTGCGGAAACTGATTTTCACACTGGAGATACGATCACCTGCAATGAAAAAAAAAGAGGAGTGACGAGACGCTCTTGGTAACGCGTAGAATGTAATTGCGGGAAAAATTATTTCGCTTTTTATTTTGTAACGTTTTATTTTGTAAAAATGAAAGCTTATTTTACAACATGCTATGATCATTGTGAAATTCCAATTTCAAATATTACACGCGAATTTGGATCACGCATTCCTGATCGTGGAGGTAAACGATTGAAAGTGCATTAAATTATCAGAAGAAATCGAAATTCCAGCCGTGATGTTCCGCGCACGAACGGAAAATTAGCTCTACCTCCAAGTAATTGTCGGATAAAGATACTTTTCGTTATAAATTACGCTTTTAACTCAAGATTGAAAATTTGTTGAGCCGTTACCTTTGCAAAATTGGGCCATTTGGCATCATAGTACGATACTCAACTTACGCCAGCAAGTGCACTTTAATGAGAGCCTGATATCTCATTTTAATCGTCTCACGACACGCATTATCAAATGCTCGAACACGGTGGTAACAGTGCTTTCGCTGTGGAATGTAGGTATGTGGGTGATTCTCAGATCCGCAGACGGCTCTCGTCGAGAGAGAGAGATATGTCCATCCGTTAATTGAGGTATTGAATTATAATTCGTTCGCTTATAATCACGGCGATCGCTTTTTCTCAACAGAAATCGTGTTCAATCTCGGTACGGTAAGCGAAGAGAAAATTCTCACTACGTCGTCATCGTGTGCAACAATAACGAGATTAACCCTAGAATCCATGACTCATTTTTTTGACCTTCTAATCCATGACTGGGGGCAATATCGACCCCACGCTTTATTTGACCGTAAAACCGGTCCTACAGAAATAAAGGGCTTTTAAACCTACATGAATTTCTTCGTTTTTTAATAACGAAGAGAATGGTATACGGTAAATTTAATTTTACTCAAGTTTAGTTAGTGAAAAATCCATTTAAAGACTGAAAAACGCAGAAAATCAGCAAAAACCTCTTTTTTTAAACAAAAATTTGTATCTTTTTTTGTAATCAACCGATTTTAAAAATTCAAACGGGGTTTTAAAGAGGACACATTAGACTATTAGAAAAAAATTGTCATCGCTATGTTCTGTTCAAAAAGTATATTTATTTGGGACTATAAAGATGAAGAAATTCGCAAAGTTGAAATACGGAAAAAGTCGATGAAAAAACCATAAAAAATTGTATTTTAAGTATTATTTCATTTTTATTTGATACAAAATAGTAAAAAATATGAAAAAAATGAAACATTATATCGCCCAGCCATTTTCTGCGAAATGTCAATCTTCTATAGGCAACGGGATTTTTACCGACTAAATTGTGTGATATTTCGTCTTAAATAATATTTATGACTATTTATGCTCAGATTACGTAATAATACATGATATATATTGATTCTAGCAAAAAAATAAAATTAGCTTACCGTGACGAAACTCAAACGGCAAGTCACGACTGGGGTCGATATCGACCCCACGCCCGCTTTGCGACTGTGCTACTTCACTGCTAGCGAACAACTAACGCTGCGCCCGACATAACCCTACTTTTAGAAAGTTGAAATGAATTATGGTTCAGGTCCTGAGTCGATAATGTCACTCGCTAGCTCAGGAGCGTAGTTCAAAGTTCGCCTGGGGTCGAAATCGACCCCAGTCATGGATTCTAGGGTTAAGCGTGAAAATCTAATCACAAGAGGATATACTTATATATAAAAAAAAATACATATATATATATATATATATATATATATATTTTTTTTTTTTTTTTTAAACAAGAATCAAAGATTAAATACAAAGAAAACTGATGAAGGAAATTCTAAAAAACTGTACAGTATAAATGCAAAACTATATAAATATATATTTCAAAACTATAAATAGAGCGCACACATCTGGAACTTTAAGAACTACATAGTCGTGCCAAAAGTTCTGTTCCTAAAAATAGATTTATTTCATAATTAAAATAAAAAGCGACATGAAACGTATACAGACCGTTTGAGGAAAGTGACGGTGGACATTTTTAATAATTTTATGATTATTCTTGTATTATATGATTTATCGATTCAATAAAATACATGTACATTTCATTTATCGTTTTTTTATTTTAATTATAAAATAAATATATTTTTCTTAGGAACATAATATATGGCACGACTATGTATACTCTTGGAATCGAAAGTGGAACAAACTTTTGCGAATTTATGTTCGACACACGTTGCCGATAAACGTTGGGACGCGCGAGACGCTCGCAAAAATATCGCGGGACAGAGAAGGGCTTCGTTTGACAATACTGACCAGGGTGTATCCGTCCGGATTCGGATGCGGGTCCGCGATGCAGCAGGTCCTTAACGAAGATGCCCTCCCTCATGTTGCCGCAAACGTTGAAGCCCAGGCCGGTGAAGTCACGGCTACGCAAACTGACCACGCTGACCCTGGTGGCCTTGGGCTGTAGCAAGAAAACAGTCGGGTTGATCGTTGCACGGGCGATGAAAACTCCACTACTCTCACCACGGGAGTCGCATTATTGCGTGTGGGTCGTGCTCGCCGATCACTGGGTGTATATGTATGTACGTGTATGTGAGATATGATGGATTCGTTGAGTCCGCTATTCCCGAGCGCGATTCGACCGAGAGGCGATCAATGAACGGGAACCTCGCCGATGACGAGCTAATAACGCAGGGACAAGTGGATGAAGGAGAGACACGTCATATTCTTATGAAAGAGAAGTCGTGTCCATTGACGATGTTATTACGTCCGGCTGTGTCATGTACGTATACAATATCCAGCTGGGACATAAATTGCGACTGATATGTATCCGAATTTCCGGATCCTGTCTTAATAAAAACGTGACGCAAAACGTGAAACGAGACCCGTTCGGACCGCGCCGACATTTATTCCAGATTATTCATCTTCGTTGGCACAATGTGTTTTTTTATTTGCAAAATTATATATCTTCTTATATGTTTATTTTTAATCTCTTTTCATTTTTATTTAAAATGTATCTTTATTGAATGAATATTTTAATAAGCACGATACATGATATTCTGATAATAACATTCAAATATAGGTACTCCTGGAAATTGTTCCGAATCCAACGTTTCCTCTGCAAAGAGGATATTTTGAAGTCAGATTAGCTCATGGAGATTTATAAATATTACATACCCGCCTTCATTCGCCTCATCCTGCAATTATTACGTCGTTATTATCGCGTGACTAAACAAGAACTATTATCACTATTATCGTGACGCTTCAAGTTCAATCGCGGAATTTATTGCCCACCTAGCGCGATAATTCAATCGTTCGGGCCGATAATGATAATATTCAATTAAATCTGCACGCCGAGGTATCATTCCATCATATTATGTATTTGTACAGAATAAACCTGTATTGTGTCTTAATGCGGAAAAAATCAATCGTGATGCATTTAAAAGATATTGAACTGCCGAGATGAGCTGCTTCATTGCAATATCAAACAAGCTAAATCTAAATAATTCAATGTTAATCGGTATCTTTTTTTTAATCTGTTTTTTTTAAATCCCTCTGAATACCGAGAATAAATGTAATGCTTTTCTCGTCAATTTCTCAATTATTTTATTATAAAACGATTTTATTATAAAACAGACTGCTGTTAAGTAAGATCGACTACCGATCATGAATGACAAATAAAGTAACATTTCTGTATTTACAAAAAAAAGAAGAAAACAAGACAGAGAGCACTTACTCCGACGCAGGAGTCGTCGAGGGTTCGGCGTTTGTCATTGCGGACCGCCGAACCGAGGCCCAGGGATGACCAGGGTGTGGACCATCGCGTGGAGTCCTTCGCGGATGTGTCCCCGGATACAACCGATGACGATCTCTCCGTGACGCGGCCGACCGGCGCAGGCGTGGCGTCCTTGAAGCAAGGATTATCGAAGGCGTAGGCATCCTCGGCGATCTCGGGATCTGTCACCAGCACCAAGTGTTTACCTGCGAAAATAGGAATAGACGCGGTGACTATTTCGTAATTCGACCAACCGGAGATGAAGATCGACGATCGGAAGAATATCTTCTAAAACGGGATATCTTCACCTGTCCTCCGGGGAAAAAAGCCTTAACAATTTTTTGTAACTCTCCTTTCTTTTTTAAATCTCTCTCCGTATATCGGGGGCATTTAAAAACAAGGACATACGCGAATCTGCAATGCCCAGAGTCATCGTGAAGCTCGTTCATCGCTCGTCACACCCGCGGCCGCAGTATTCGCGCGGATATACGTCGCGGCACGCGAGTAGAATCATAATCGCGACATGACTCATTAGCGTGGTACGTTGCTTATAAAACGTATACTAGGCGATCGCGCGCATCTCTGGACACGCGCGCCCGCATCCAAATACGGTGTAGCCGGAGTATCAACAGGAAGGAAGCGCATTCCTCGAAACCGTCCGTGTCCCGCTACGTATCCGATATCTCTATCCACCTGACCGTATTCAGACATAGGATGTATGATACATTAGTGTCGGACGGCTGCGCATACGACAATCTCTCTCTTCTGTCTCTCTCGCGCGCGCAGTTCTTATTTTATTTTAATTGCATTTTTTCTCTTTTTTTAATTATTTTATTTTTATTATTGTATGTGCATTATTATAGTTTATGTTATACTGCCTATTTTTCTTTTTGTAATAAATGTCTTTACGTTTTAAGCCTTAAGGGGATGTAGTCCCCAGAGCTTCGCAATAATAAGTGACGATTCGATTCGATTCTCTCTCGTCCCACTTCGCCTACGCAATTGTTTTGTCCGTTTACACGTAGTGTAGCAATTCTTAACTTATAATTTAATTTCCAAGAGAAATTCCTTTCATCATGTCTTCTTTTCTAAATTGGATACCATCGCATACGGCGAATTGTGATGGCGCGCCACGTGCAAAGACATCCTCGTTCGGGACTCAAACGCAGGCATTTACCACACGGGCGATATATTCCCAAGCGCGAATTTATGCGCGAGTAAAAAAGGTTTATTTCTTTCTCGTCCGTTTTTTTACTCAATCGTACGCACGCACGACGTTGCGCAAGGGATGTCCCGGATTTTTCCCCGGTGCGGCGCGGCGCGGCGACACGACGGGGCGCGGCATTCCTCGAGTCCGCGCGCTTTCGCCGCGCGCGTTTTTGCGCTGCACCTACGCATTTGTTTATTTATCGGCGTCCGCGTGTTTGCGCACACACGCGCGCGCGCGCAGGAGTTGCGTGTACACGTAGTATCAGTACCTCTCTTTTTCTCCCCTTCTCTGTCTCTCTCTCTCTCTCTCGCTCTCCCGCCTCGTCGTTTCCTCTGTATTACGTAACGCACAATGAGGCGAGTAATCGTGCCCGGTATGCACAATCGAGGCGACGCCGCGACTTGGAAGGCTGCGCCGAGGATCGACTGAAGGGGGAGAAGAGAGAAAGAAAAGTAGGAAAGAGAAGGAAAGCTCTTGTTACAGAGAAGCCGGTATAAGAATTTACGGCGCGTGCCGACGCGCCGTATATTTTCTCGTCTGGTAAATCCCGCCGAGTAATAAATGAAATACTTGAGGCCGCGCGCGTGTCGCGCTAGACTCGCGTTTTCTCGATGCAGATGCGCCTGGGGCCAGGGGGCGGTGAGGGGGAAGGGAGCATCGATATGCCTACCGTAAAACGACGCGCATACTTTCGCATTGCCGATGCGCGATACCGCGAAACGGCGGGCTCGGCTTGTTGGATAGAATTTTTCAGGGAGAGGAAAGAAAGGGAGAAAGAGAAAGAGAAAGGGAAGGGGGCACACGTGTGGTTCTGCACGCGACAGGAGTAAAACGGACGAAATATTTTGGCGAATATGGCGGAGATGACATTTTTCTTCAAAGCTACATCGGTTTCCCATTTCGGGGAAATTCCCCCCGTTCCCCCGGAAGATTGATAATAATAAGAATGTAATTCGGCGTATAAAGCGATGCACTTCTTGATGAAATAAAAGTAATTTAATTTTCAACTTCCCGCCATTGTTTATTCATTGTCAGTAAAGTTAACAATGTTTATTTCTGTTAATTAAGTTGATTAGTTCTATAATAATAATTTGATATGATGGTAATGTTAATTAGTAGAAATCGGATTTTTTATATGCAAATTGGTGGAAAAAAGCAATCAACAACTAAGATTGTTATTTATAATATCCAACATATTTATACTTAACATATGTTGCAATATGAATATGTTGGATATTATAAATATCATAATTTTAGTTGTTAATTGCTCTTTTCCACCAATCTGCATATAAAAACTCCGATGCCTATTAATTAACACCAATGTCTATTAATTAGCTATTAATAATATAAACATTCTTTTTTTTCTAGTCAATTACCGTAGTTTTTCTCACAATTACTGACACTAAATGCAGTAGCTTCGAATACGTAATGTTTGGCATGTTACGTAGCCCATTGAGCGGCCGATATACGCAATTCAGCAATGTGTCAGCATACCAAACAAGCATTCTGTTTTCCATATTCATGGCTTGAATGACAGAATTCCGCGAGCGGCTGACGTACTTTCAATAAAAACGAGCAAATTTAATAAAAGAACCGAGAAAACATTAACAAATCAGCATAAATAATATCTTAATTAATTTTCACAGAATTAATCACAAAACGATATAAAAGCTGCATAGACAGAAATGATATGTGATTTTTCTAATTCCCACAATTTTCAATCATTGTTTCGCGCAGGATTAAGATCTAATGAAATGTAGATGTATCTATCGGCGAATGAAAGAAAAATTATTTCTCGCGGTTCTATCTTCGCTTGTGTGTCTTATCCCGATGATATCCTTCACAGACGCGACTCGTCCACTTTTTACACAGGAGGCATCGACTCGGCCTCCTGCGTAAAATCGTCGCTTCATCGAAATTCGAAAACGAGGCGTGCGGCAATAGCGAGGTAAACGTCAACAGGCTCTCTAACGGGGTTACGGCGTGTCGCATTGTTTTTTGCGGCGTGCATAAAACGCGCGCTCGCGGCGATACGACACGGTCGAGGGATACGAACAGATATACGAATGGCCATAAAGGCGCTGTCGCAGCGACTATTTTCCCTCTGTCTTTCTTCCTCTCGGTTCTCAGGCCGAGAGAGGGATTTCTTATCGGGACACCATCGCCCACCGTGATTGTGACGCTACGCCTCTGCGAGGGACGCCAATGGGCGCATACCATGGACGCCAAGGTGAGCTAGCTCGCTCTCTCTCACCCTGCGTCTTCCTCTCCTCCTCCTCCTCCTCCTTCTCTTCTTCTTCTTCGCCGTGAGCTTCGAATCGCGATCCACACACCCTACCATTATTTCCGACCGCGTTGCTCTTATCGAGATCCGACTGATCTGCTTCTCGTTTCGTCTCGGAAGCCCCTCTCGGCGGGACGCCGACATAATCTCGGCCGCGGGTGACACTTCTTTTGGAAGGAAAACGTTTTGTTACGGTGAGTAGTCTAATGAACACCTGCAGGGATAACGAGAAAATGCTCGATAGTGATGGCCTCGCCGCGAAAACAGTTCGATGAAGTTTGCATGACGAGATATATTTGATATATCTGTAATATTTAATCGATATGTGAAATATTATTTTTGAAAAATTATATTAACTTAAGTGGATTGTTCTTCTCGATTATCGTTGCCGTATTAATTTATCGAACTCTCTTAATTGCCTCGGGGCGAGTTGCGAAGAATATAATGAGATACCAGACGGAATTTTAAAAGTCCGCCGGAGATACCATTGTTGCTTGCGGATCTTCTCAGCGATTAAAACGCGCTTTACTTATGTGTAAATATTTAATGTGCCAGTTTCGTGACCCACCGCCGTTTACAGCCAACAGCATGACGTGATGATGTCGAGCGTCGTGAAGATAATGGCCTTTTGCGAAAGGGAGCCCAGAACGCGTCTCTTAAGTGGAAGAGGCTCGCGGAATATCTCGGTCGCACACGTTTCTTCAGGCATTTTTTTTTTCCAAATTCGCCACGCAGGCAGATAATCGGCAAAAACGTCGCGAACTCAATTCGATGCAAAACAACAGATTCTGATTGACGACAATTTCGACGTTATTATCCTAATTGCACGGTTCTCAGTGCGACGTGATTCTGCAACGTAAAATTTAGTTCACATACAGAAAAAAAAAGAAGTGTCAAATCAACACCGATATACGTAAGAATATATAATTTTGAAATGAAATTATATTGCGTTAAACTAAGAAAATTTGCTTGAATGAAGTCATTTATATAGTTAAACGAAGTTTAATGTGGCTGTATCAAGAAAAATAAGTTGAAATAAAAAGTTGAAATTCTTATAAGAAGATTATATATTCTTGCGTACATACAAGTATATATATCAGTGTTGATTTGACACTCCTTTTTTTCTGTACATTCGGCAGCAGACACGTAATGCGAAATACGTAATGCGAAATACAGCCGCGAGAAATTTTGCGTAAATAGATCGTTTCGGTTCTCAAGGCTAACAATAAAGTGCAGGAAGATAAGCGAAGAGACGTTAGGAGAACTAAATCTGTGTCATAACCGCTGGTGTTAAACAATCATAAATGAAACCGGTTACTTCGAGCGAGTTTCAATCAGAGTGGGTGCGTATAGTGTGCGATGGGTGTTAGCCGAGCTTATTTTCAAATTAAAATTATCTATGTGGATTATACTAACAATGAATCACTTCGAGTGTCCCATATTTCGTAAGAATCGCTCTCTTTCCCGTCGATAAACGCCGCGCTATTGAACGAGTTGCGGCGCGATATCTTCCGCAAATGAATAATCAATTCGTGCGGCATCACGTCTTCGAGAAATGTCCGTGGAGTCGTAGAGTCGGACATAATTTTACGCCGGCATGATTCACGCAAATTGCGACTCGTTCGGAACGCGTCCTTGCCGATGCGAAATGGTGCGGCGGGTTTAAAAGGCATTGGCGCATTCAAAAATAGATAAGGAATGTAGGATAGTAT